TCTAACAGAGGAACTCCATCCCCATTTAAGTCTCTCTTTCTTTGACTAACTCAAAGAGAGTTGAATTGAAACCCTTAAAAACCTTTAGAACAAATTTTCCTTTCTACATGGAAAAGACTTGTTGAACACGTTTTAGATCAACGCAGTACATTAAAAATGACAGATTACGCACTCAAATAATACCAATTCCCAGAAAAGAACGATAAAGTGCCAAAGATACTAAATTTACACTGACAAAAATGTAACATTTAGCACGTTAAATGAAAATCGTGAATTGCTTGTCAATGACATAATACAAACCTTAGCACAAATAACATGTTGTCCTTCGAACAAGTGTATATGATTCTCTATACTCAGTAAGCCAATGAAAGAACTTGGAAATAAGAGCAAAAGTAGAATAATTTACACAAGATCATATTCTGCAAAGTTTTTAACCATAATTTAAATGGAAAGAGTTTTTCTTGTGGCAGTAATTTTTACTGTCTCAACTGTAAAAATGTGTACATCAGACTATTTGAGTAGCTTAAAAATAAATGAAAACATGACTACCGTGACTAAGTGAAAACTTCTTCCTGGATATATTTCTAGAAGAAGTCAAGCACGTGCCAGAGAGGTTGTAATGCCTCTAAAGGGATTACTTGACTTTTCAGTGTAGTTTAATTTCTTAAATTTGCAAGAAATTAATACTTTTCCTCTGACAGAGTGATGTGTATCAGTACTCAGCTGGAATCTTCCAAGGTAGATAAAAGACTCAAAAGAGGTGATAAATAGAGCCGTCGTTTTACGCTTGGGTCAGGCCAGGAATATAATGACTCCCGGACTAAACTTCTGTGTCACCCCCCCCAATTCACATACTGAAGACCCTCAATGTGGTATTTGGATCTGGGGGCCTCTGGGAGGTAATTAGGTTTGGATGAGGTCCCGAGGCTCGAGTCCCCGCGATGGAATTAGTGACCTTACAAGAAAAGAGACAGAGACGGAGTGTTGTCTCCCCACCGTGAGGAGACACAGCGAGAAGGCAGCTGTCCACAAGCCAGGAGGAGAGCCCTCCCCAAACACTGGACTGGCCAGCACGGCAGTCTTGGACTCTTCAGCCTCCAGAACCA